CTGTTCACTGTACGTTTACATTCAACGTTCACCAACCCGGATGGTTCATATTCGAAAAATGTGACAGCAAAGCTTTTGCGTGTGCGTTGCATTTCCGTTTCAGGATGACTTTTGCCTTTTTGGTCATTTTTGAGATGGACGTGAACAACTGGAATCCTCGTTCTACAGTGCGACCGGCGCGTGGTAGAGGCGAAGCGCCCGTTCCTGCAGCCGCAGGACCATCATCTACGCGCAGCCCGTTGCACAATCAAGCCGGTGGGGCGGCCCATCCGGCGGTGCCGGTGGCGAGGCCGCCGCTGCGCCTGGCTACGGGCCCAAGCGGGCCCTGGGCCCTGCCCTACCCGCCCGTCGCCCGCACGGCCCGCCGCCCCCGCCCCCGCCCCTCGTGGCCCGCCCGCCGCTCTACCCCCCGTGCGACGGGCCCCTCTACGGCCCGCCAAGCCGCTCGCGCGCCCTGTCTACGAGTCGCCACGACGACCTCGACACACCTGCGGCCTTCCGCCCGCCCCGCCCGCCCACGCTGCACCCACGGCGCACACCCGGGCAAGGGCCCGTTGAGGTGGCCGCACTCACCCCCACCCCTTAATCACTTTCAGTTTTATAAATAACGGGAAGTGCAGATCTGAGTTTTTAGATAAACCGCTGGATGCGATCACATGCATCAAGCCATAGCGTTTTCAATGGAAAGGATTACTTCTCCGCACCATTTGAATTTGTTTTTGTCATTCTATGTTCATTAAAGAGGAGCGTTTCAAATATACATGCTGCACAAAAACGAACGCTATTGCGCAAAATTGAGCGACTAAAAACCTTCCAACAAAGAAACTTGGAAGACCGTTCAATAAATTATAATTAGTCTTGTGAGTGTTACATCGCTATAACAGGTTCCTCCCCTGTTGTACCATGAGATCAGGCACAGATCTTTACACCGTTCGGCTTACGGGGTTTTTCTCCTCGGGTTATCTCCTCCAATGGAGCATTGTCCAGCAGGATAAGCTGCCCTTAGGCTCCCGTACTGATATCCCTCATTTGTGTGCTAGTACAATGGAGATGCTATGTATATAAGGGTAGGTGGACAAGGCATTAGGCCAAGGGAAGACCGCGCGCAGTTTCCCTGGCCCACTTAGTTAAGATACCGCTCCATATTATTTGTCAATGATGCGGAAATAAATTCCATTCAGAGACCGACCCCTAAAGTTTCTCCACGTTACGGTGGCTGAATTCGACCTAGCTCTCTAAGCATTGTCTAAAATGTCCCGTTAAAAGTCTGGACTAAAACCGCCCATTGAGAGACCGTGGCAGGGTCATCGGTAATTCGCCCTCCGCGGCCACTAAGTCGGCCCCATCTCAGAAAATGCATTAAGAAAATGGAAGTGTGGTTTTACGAGATAACTGATTCAGTGTCTCTGAAGCAAAATCCGCCCTCACGTCCATGCCTAGGGAATCCTATGGCCACGCCTGTTAGAGCCGCGTTTGCAGGCCAACAAGAGCACTCGTATGCCGCGCAGCTTGTACGTGAACGCGCAGAGCGGCAACGCCGGTCGGCCTGCCGCAGCACGGTTGCACCACCACTACCACCACGTCGGACGCCACACTGAACGTGGTGAAGCCCTCGCTCATCGACTCCCCCGCCGGGCACCACCCTGGGCGTGCGGCGGCATCCCGGCGTGTGGCGGCCACGCGCCCTTCGACGCGGAGGCCTTGTGCGGCTGTGGGCGGCCGGGCTACAACCCATCGCCTCTTCTACAAGTAAGGCAGCTCAACCCTCAACAACGGCCAGCAGCGGCTCATCCGCCGTGAGTACTTGCGGATATTGACGAGATCTTCTTCACATAATTTCACCGGTATTCGGCTGAAGGGAGGTTTAAAGCCATTAAAATTTAGTTTGAAGAGAAGAGGAAGATATAATTGAGTGATCATCGCAAAGTAAAGAAATATTCAAGAAATATTATTTGTCACCACTCTCAAAAATTAATTATAGAAGTTATATATATATTATATAATATATATATATATATATATATATATAATATATAATATATATATATAACAGTCTTGTTTATCTCTGAGCAACAGAAACTTCAGCATTCAAAAAATAACTACTTATTGTTTCCGAAACACCGCTCCCGAATTTATAGGTAAAATAAAAGGGCATCTTCACCAACTGAAAATGATGTACATTAGAGGTATGTTTGTTCTCTAACCTTACAAAAATGCATTAAACAACCGAGTGACGTTGTGCAGGTAACTCGAATCGCGCAGAAACAGACTACGCGTCATCCTACCCCAAACTACGGCTCACCGCGCGCCACGACTGCTACTGCAGTGCGGTTTCGACCAGTGCCTGCCGCACGAGGTGCGCGCAACGACGAGCCGCGGCCCGCTCATCTGAACCCCGCGCCACCGCGCCTCCGACATCGATGCCATCACCCTCGACGACGTCCGTCAATCACCGACGGGCAACGGCACCATCTCCCCAACCCCAACCACCAGAAGCGCGACAGCGCAGGCCGCCGCCAACGCCACCGACACAATTAGACG